TCTACAGCTAAGATGCTGAACAACAGCTCAACCTGGAGCTGGGCTGCTGTGAGTCGCCGGCGACGGCATAGGCTGCAGCCCCTGTGGCAGTGGGTTGCCATGGGCTACAGTATGTAGCCAGCAGCCAGCGTGAGTGGCCGTCCAGAAGCCGGCGACTGATCTGCCTCGCCTGGGAAGAGTACAGTGATGGTGCCAACATGGGCCAGTGAAGCAACGTCCTCCACAACTAGACTGAAGAACAAAAATGACAGCAACTTGTCTGTTCCCCTTCTCCCAATTCCCCAGCGTTGTTCCCATCCCCCAATTCCCCAATAAAAATCTTTAAAAATAAATAAATAAATAATAAATCCACAAACAAGTGCTGGCGAGGTTGTGGGGAAAAGGGAGCCCTGCTGCACTGTTGGTGCAATTGCAGATTGGTGGAGCCACTATGGAAATCAGTATGGAGGTATCTCAAAAAAACTGTAACTGGAACTACCTTATGACCCAGCAATTCCACTCTTAGGGATTTATACAGAAAAACCCAAGACACTAATTCAAAAATATATATGCACCCCTATGTTTATTGCAGCACTATTTACAACAGCCAAGACTTGGAAACAATCGAAGTGCCCATCAGTAGGCGACTGGATTAAGAAACTGTGGTACATTTACACAGTGGAGTATTACTCAGCCATAAAGAAGGAAATTGTACCATTTGCAATGATATGGATGGACCTAGAGAATATTATGCTAAGTGAAATAAGTCAGTCAAAGAAAGACAAATACCATATGGTGTCAATTATATGTGGAATCTAAAGAACTGAATAAACAAGTAATGTAAACAGGAATAGTCTCAGAGACACAGGAAAAACTGATGATTGCTAGATGGGACGGGGATGGGGATGAGGGAGAAGGGGAAGGGATGAGACAACATAAATTGGTAACTACAATATTGCCTCAGGGATAGAAAAGACAGTTTGGGGAATATAATAAATAATGTTGTAAATATTTTTTAGGGAGCCAGATGGTCTCATGTCATGTTAGGGAGATCACTTCATGGACAGTTTAGAGGCCTGACCACTGTACTGTACATCTGAAGCTGACGATGAATAATATTATATGTCAACTATAATTTAATATATATATATATAGTCATGGGATGTGGAGTGGAGTGTGGGAATGGAGTCAATGGAATTGTAATAGATATGTATGATATCGGGGTGGGGAGGCAGTGAATGGGGGGAGGGAGGTTGTCAGTTTGTGAGGGGTGAAAAGGATAACTATTGCATTGTTTTGTACACCTGAAAATAATAATAATAATTTTTTTTAAATAAAAAATAACTCCCCCAAAAAAACCAGATCTACCCTTTAGCAAATTTCAAGTACACAATGTAGCATTATTAACTATAATCACCATGCTGTACACTAGATATCCAGAATATTCATCTTGCATAACTGAAACTTTGCACCCTTTGACCAACTACTGTCCATCTCTTTCATCCCCCAGCTCTCTGTTTCTATGATTTTTGACTCTTTTAGATTTCACATGTAAGTGAGATTATACATCATTTGTCTTTCTCTGTCTGGCTTTTTTCACTCAGCATAATGCCCTCCAGGTTTATCCATGTTGTTTCAAATGGTAGGATTTCCATCTTTTTATGGCTGAATAACATTTCTTTGTGTGTATATGCATACATATTTACATTTTCTTTATCCATTCATTTAATGGTGGACATTTAGGTTGTTTCCATATCTTGGCTATTGTGAATAACACTGCAGTGAACATGGGGGTGTAGTTATCTTCAAGATACTGATTTTATTTCCTTTGGATATATACCCAGAAGTGGGATTGCTGGTAGGTCAAGTCTTTATTTTTGAGGACCCTCTATGCTACTTTTTCACAGTGGCTACACCACAGTCACTGTTTCTAAATGCTGGACAGTAGTCCATCAAGCACACTAACCACATTCCAGGCACCTAGGTTACCTCCAGTTTCTGCTTCCCAAACATCACTGCCATGAGCATCTTCACAGTGAGAGAATTTCTTTTGTATGTATACCCAGAATTAAGATTGCGGGGATCTTAGTCCACTAAATACCTTGCAGAATGGCTATACTCCCATCAGCAGGGCATAAGGTTCTCAGTTCCCCCACATCCTTGCCAGCACTTGACTTCTTCTTCAATTTTTGTCAATTAGATGGGGGTAAAGAGATGGCTCATTGATGTTTTAAATTGGGTTTGTCTCATTACAAATGATTATAAGCATGTCTCCATAAGCATATTAGACCACAAGAATTCCTCTTCTGTGAAATGCCTGTTTTATAACCTTTGATCCTTCTCTAATAGGTTTCCTATTTATGTCTTCATCCCTAGGCTCCTTCTGTACTAGATGTCTTCCATTTGTCCTTCCACATCCAGTGGTTTGGGAGGCACAGCTGTATGGCTGCTTTAAATTTCTCCTTGCCTTCTGGTTTCCATCGGGGTCAAAACATCTGTTTCTTTAGTGATTTTTCTGTGTTCTCAATCTATCAATCACTGAGAGAGATGTATTACAATCTCCTACTATGAATATATATTTGCCTATTTTTTCTCGTATTTCCAAAATTTTGTTTTATATATTTCATGACCATCTTATTCAGTGCACATATATTGAATACTTGTGTAGCTTCCTGTGAAATTAAACCTTTTATCGTTAGGAAGTGACCCTTTTATCACTATTAAGACTTCTTTTAAACTGTACTTTATGTGATAATTATTTTGGTTAGAATTTGCCTAACATATCTTCTTCATGCTTTTACTTTCAACATCTCTGTTTTATATGTGTTTCTTGGGCATGTGATTGGACTTCTATTTTTTATTCTGTCTGGAAGTTCTTGTCTTTTAACAAGATAATTAGTCTTTTTCATTTAACATAATTAGCAACATATTTGGATTCAGAACTCAACTTTTATTTTCTGCGTTTTCTTATCTACCTGTTCTGCTTCTTTTTATCACCTTTCTGGCTTTCCTTTAGATTAAATTTCTTTTCCCTTAATGAGTTTAGGAGTTGTAAGCCCTGTTTGTAGGGGAATAACCTAAAAATTACAACAATGGTGGGGTAAACACTATCTTTACTCTGCTATTCCAAATCTAGACAAGTAATATAATTATATTGTCTAAACCTGTACTTCTCTAACCTTTCTCCTTCAAAGTCATGTGTCTATTATTCCTTTCTTCTTCATATTTATTTTATTCACCTTTTCTAAGAATCATATTTTTCTTTTATTGGTCATATTTACATTTTTATATTCCAGTTCATTAATTATTGCTTTTTTAAATATAAATTCCTTACTTCTACTTTGGGGGTTTATTTTGTTATGCTTTTTTAAGTTTCTTGAGTTAAAATTGAGCTTATTTCAATTCAGCCTTCTTTTTTTTGTTTTGTTGTTTTTTTTAAATGAATGTGCTAAAGGCTATATACATTTCTTTCTGGGAACTGCTTCAGACTATCATAATCTCAGTATGTAGTACCCCCCTTGTTCATTTCTAACTCACTGCACTTTACTTTGATTTCCTCTTAAAGTTATCTCGATGGGGAGAAATGTATATGTTTTATAGATCTTCTTTGGTTCTACTTTGGTGTTCATGTCTAATTGTGTTTTTTGGTATTAGAGCATTGCTTCTTTTTAGGTTTAGTTGAGGTCTTTTATTTATTTATTTATTTTTATTGTGGAATTGGGGGGATGGGAACAGCGCTGGGGAATTGGGAGAAGGGGAACAGACAAGTTGCTGTCATTTTTTGTTCTTCAGTCTAGTTGTGAAGGACGTTGCTTCACTGGCCCAAGTTGGCACCATCATTGCGCTCTTCCCAGGCGAGGCAGATCACTCGCCGGCTTCTGGACGGCTGCTCACTGCGGCTGCTGGCCGCTCACGCTGGCTGCTGGCTACACAGGGTAGTCCATGGCAACCCACTGCCACAGGGGCTGCAGCCTACGCCATTGCCAGTGACTCAAGGCAGCCCAGCTCCAGGTTGAGCTGTTGTTCAGCATCTTAGCTGTGGAGGGCAGTGTCACTGGCCCTCATATGTGGGATCTGAACC